TCCCTATAAAGAGTTGTGCATCCATCTTGATCAAATCAGTACGACGGATAATATTCAACTAGAAAGTCCTTCAACTCTGCTCAGATCTATTCCAGTGAAAAATAAAAATATAATAGCGGTAGACCGGAATCTTTCTCATCATTACAATATAAAAAATTAAAGCGGGGTATTATTTCAGACCTTAAAATTTCTGTATTAGATGTAAAACACCAACCTGTACATATAGGATACTTAAGTGTAACACTCCATATTATAAATAATGGTTGATTCCATATTTAAGTTATGATATAGTATCATTGTATATTTAATATGTATGTTACACTCCCGGGAATAACAAATGGTCAGTCTATTGAACTGCTTCATACTATCGATAACTCGGATGGACAACTCGAAGTAGCTCTATGCGATGTAACGTATTACCCGCTGTGGACCAATATAAGTGCTGCAAAAAGAAATAATATGATGATTAAATCAGGTATTAGCAAAACCATTATTATACCTGATGGGTATTACAGCGTATGCTCACTCAATGATGAAATTTTTAAGCCTAATGGATTTAGTCTCACACAAAATGAGTCGAATGGGATACTGAAATTAGACCCTGGAGAAAGAGGTGTAATTATTTTCGAGAACTTAGCAATTACACTTGGATGGAGAGTAATGTCAGTAATCGTTGCATCAAATCAGGGACGTGATTTACCCGATTTAGTTCCCTATAAAGAGTTGTGCATCCATCTTGATCAAATAAGCACGACGGATAATATTCAACTAGAAAGTCCTTCAACTCTACTCAGATGTGTTCCAGTTAAAGATGAAAAATACAATAGTGGCAGAACGGAATCTTTCTCACCATTACAATATAAAAAATTAAAACGGGGTATTATTTCAGACCTCAAAATTTCTGTATTAGATGTAAAACACCAACCTGTACATATAGGATACTTAAGTGTAACACTCCATATTATAAATAATGGTTGATGCATCAGGCCCTGGAACGCTCAGACAATGTAATACAATTGCGCTTTCCGATCTCGGAGACATAGAAGGATTCGATAAACCCGGTACCAATGGTAAGTTATACGCTTTACACTTACACGATAATGTATACAAGCGGAAAGAAGTTACATTCACGGGTAATCTAGAAGATTTAAGCGATGTCGATGTTAGTAGACTAATTAAAAACACTTCGTATAATATTACTCGCAACGACGATAATAAATGGACTATGGTCGAAGCAAACATCGAGTGGCTAATGAATATCGTCATTACCCCATTGTATGCGATGATGGGTAAGGGACATAATTTAACTAAGATAATAAATAGTGGCATCGTACTCGCGGCTTATATCCCGTCAAAACGAAAAAGTGTGTTGGTCACTCCCCTGCCAGAAAACCCAGGTCATATGTTATATAGTCGTCCGGCCTTAAAAAATATTACTTTAAATTTGGTTACTGAATTCGAAGATATTAAAGATAACTTGAGTGCAATACCTAATATTTCCACGCTTATTATTGAAGTCTTGTTCGGAGATGCACCGGAAGATGTCTTCGAAATATTACCAGGTCTATCGATTAAATGGCTCAAGAAACACGAGCGTCAACGTTGCAGTATTATTCATATCGGAGCATCGCCCGTTGCAACCCTCGAGGGGGTTCAAATTATTAAAAGTGACAGCATTTCTCTTTCTAAGATATTCTTGCCGTATAATATACATTTGATAAGATTGATGTATAGTCTCAAAACATTTAAGCAAGACCAATTAAAGACTATTATATGATCGTAATATACACTATGAGTTTATATCCAGCGCTCGATGAAGCATTTGAAAAGATGGAAACTGTTGATGGATTTCGATTACATCAAATAAGCGACATAAAACATCGAATAGGGAAGGATAGGGAGTTGAGACTTGGATTGTATAAAAAGTATCGCAGAGCCGTGAATGCTCTGGACGGAGTTGACACCGCTCTTGTAGTATCTGGCATGGGACTCGCTGTAGCAGGTATCGGTTTACTATCAACTATAATCGCCGCGCCTATCGTGCTCGGCATGGAAATAACCGCTGGAGTCTCGGGACTGGCAGGAATAGCGATAAAATTCATTTCTCGTAGGTTACAAAAGAAAGCATTAAAACACGATAGTATTCGGATACTCGCCGAAGCAAAGTTGAACAGCATTGAGGATCATATTTCGACAGCAATGGCCGATTGTAAGATATCCGAGGATGAGTTTCGTTTAGTGCTGTCAGAACTCACCAAATACAACGAAATGAAGCAGGAGATTCGATCAAAATCTTGTAAGACCAGTGGTATTAGCGAAGACGAGAAAGTGTGTTGGTCACTCCCCTGCCAGAAAACCAGGGTCATATGTTATATAGTCGTCCGGCAGTAAAAAATGTTACTTTAAATTTGGTTACTGAATTCGATGATATTAAACAGAACTTGAGTGCAATACCTAATATTTCTACGCTTATTATTGAAGTCTTGTTCGGAGATGTACCGGTAGATGCCTTCGAAATATTACCAGGTCTATCGATTAAATTGCTCAAGAAACACAAGCGTCAACGTTGCAGTATTATTCATATCGGAGCATCGCCCGTTGCAACCCTCGAGGGGGTCCAAATTATTAAAAGTGGTAGTATTTCTCTTACTAAGATATTCTTGCCGTTTAATATACATTTGATAAGGTTGATGTATACTCTCAAAACATTTAAGCAAGACCAATTAAAGACTATTATATGATCGTAATATACACTATGAGCTTATATCCAGCGCTCGATGAAGCAATTGAAAAGATGGAAACTGTTGATGGATTTCAATTACATCAAATAAGCGACATAAAACATCGAATAGAGAAGGATAGGGAGTTGAGACTTGGATTGTATAAAAAGTATCGCAGAGCTGTGAATGCTCTCGACAGAGTTGACACCGCGCTTGTAGCAACGGGCATGGGACTCGGTGTAGCAGGTGTTGGTTTATTTTCAACTATAATCGCCGCGCCTATCGTGCTCGGCATGGAAATAGCCGCTGGAGTCTCGGGACTGGCAGGAATAGCGATAAAATTCATTTCTCGTAGGTTGCAAAAGAAAGCATTAAAACACGATAGTATTCGGATACTCGCCGAAGCAAAGTTGAACAGCATTGAGGATCATATTTCAACAGCAATGGTCGATTGTAAGATATCCGAGGATGAGTTTCGTTTAGTGTTGTCGGAACTCACCAAATACAATGAAATGAAGCAGGAGATTCGATCAAAATCTTGTAAGACCAGTGGTATTAGCGAAGACGAGAAAAAAAAGTTCATAGAACAGGGGAGGCAACAAGCGCGTCAATTATTCCGTGCCAAAACCAAAGAACTGGTTGGAGATTAAAAATAGATTGCTTACTATCGTTAGATCACATTTAGACAAATGCTCACATAAATATATATAATAATGGAGATCGAAAAAGCTATTAAATGGAGAGAATTACCACAAGGTTTTTATTATATCAGTGATGTCAAACCAACCAAATACGGTTATCAATTGTTTCTTATCAATTTACAAGAAGAGTGTAATTATATAGTCTGGTCTCCTAGTAAAATGAACGAAGAACTTGATAAAAATGTTGAATATCGCTTAATTGATAAAAATAATAAAGAATATTTTTATTACCATTTAGGCTCATCTAAAGCAATGATTGGCCCCAGGTATTGGTGAGCTAGACCCAATTTAACTTAATCTCATGACTATCATTGAATCGCATCATCATTTTCGCAAAAAAAATCCCCCCTGTAGTAGCATTATAGGTATATGAATCTGGCTCCAGTAGAAGTGGTCCAGAACCATCATTACCTATACTACTCATCACATAGCTGGACACTGTTCTTGAAACTTGTTGAAACATACACAGCAATACCATGTGTTGTGTCTCCTGGATAGACTTGATATCCTGGAAGGTCTCTTTTACTGTAGTCATTGATGTGAGTTTCTATGAAACACAAAACATCAACCACACCAACAAACTTATCCTTCTTCACATCTTCGAAATAAGCACTGAGGGATTGAACAATCAAGTGAGCCACCTTGAGTCCATCGCCATGACTGTTCTCTACAGGGTGTGTCCAGGTGAACAGTCTTTCATTCTGCAATCTAGTCATCTCATCCAATGCTTTTTTGTTTACTACAATTTTGTGTTCAGCAAAACCTTCAAGTTTAGGCCTTTCCTTGATTTGACCCTTTTTTTCAAAAATCCCAAAGTATCAAAAGGCACCAGTTTTCCACTAGACCTATTTATGTGTCAAGCTTGGTGAAGAAATATTGTACGTTTTTCAAGATCTGCTCCAGAAATGAGCACTACCACCATTTTCAATCGAAGTTAAAGTTGTTGCCATGGAAAGTCGAAAAATATTTTTGTTTACAAATCCCAAACTATCAAAAGGCACCAGTTCACCACTAGACCTATCTATGTGCCAAGTTTGGTTAAAATATCTCTCATGTTTTTTTAGTTCTGCTCCGGAAACGAAATGTGATGGACGGACGGATGGACGGACAGAAGGTCGAAAGGATGGACGGCACCCATTCCTATATCCCTCTTCCACTTCCTGGCGGGGGATAATAAAGCTGTAAGTATTTCATGTCAAGCTGGTACAGCCCCATCACTGCTTATTGCTGAACTCTCACAACTCATAACAAGCCAATCTCATAGTAGTTCAGTAATAAGTTCTTGTCACTTAAGGATGACAGTTTTGCAGGCTATCTTCATTTATCTTTATGAAGAACTGTCAAGCTTCAAAACCTGAACCTGCCCAAAGAAGACATGTAAATGTTTCACTGATCTGCCTTCACTTCATTTATGAGAGTTTCTATCAAACTTGAATATGGCAAAATGTTTAAACGCTAAGTGCCATTGTGTCTAGTAGAGATCTAACAGGACCAGTAGATTTTTCATTTGTGCTGTTCTTTTGGACCACTGACAAGTGTTTGTGAGTGCCAGGTGACCTGTGAAGGTGACTACACTTACAGATCTGTAGTCCTCGCTCAGGCCTTTTTTGCGAAGTGTGTCGACCAATCCCGAAACATCGTTGTTTGTGTGATTCTCATATCGTAAAGCATACAGCATCACCATACGGAGCATATCCAGAGGGCGCACACTGTCACTGGACATGAGGCTCTTGATCTTCTGTAAGGAGAAATGATTATTTTAATTGAAACAAGAAAACAGCATTATCACTGTCCCCAGGGCACATTAGACTTTTGTTTGTGCATATAGTAGTGAACAATAACAAAGATGAGCATTTCTGATTAAATGCAATGCTTTTATACTTACCTGATGCTACACAGTGCTTTAGCTTCCCTACCTTATACAAACAGACAGTACTGGAACGAAGAGACGGTTTAAACAGACTACAGTCTGTGCCTCGGCATCCACCAGTTATCCCCCTTGGCCCCTACTCCTCATATTCTTCACTGGATGACATCAGACGTAGAGGACACATTGGCGCCAACGGTAAGGCGGAGGAGGAGGACGGAGTCCGGGTGGGCCTATAGGTGTAGCGTCAGGTAAGTATAAAAACATTGCATTTAATCAGAAATGCTCATGTTTTACCTTACCTGACGCTACACAGTACTTTATTCGACTGATGGAAGGCGGGCTTACCGTGAGAAGCGCCAGGCACACTGAAGAAGCACAATCAAAACCGTCCGGCAGGAAGCTCAGCAGGCAACAGCAAGCAGCGGCTCCCGGGACGGCAGGCAAGGGGATAAGATGCAGTCAAGCCCTCTTGGAACAGAATGGTGGTCTGAAGGTAGAGAGAACAATGCTTGACAGAGGGTAAAAGTAAGGTATTCCGTGACCGTCTCAGCACAAGGGATGGTCCTACCTTGTCGATAGGCGTCGGCGGGGCCATTGGGGCCGCAGACAGCCATGTTCCTCTGCCTCGGCACAGTCAGTGGCGTTGGGGTTGGTCAGCTGCTGGGCCAGGACAAGTGGACCAAAGCTATGTGTACACGCGACGTCCTTCACCAATATGTTGCGAAGATAATGGCTGGCGAAGACAGTAGTAGATGACCAGAAGCATCCCTTCATGATTGATCTGACGGAGACGTTAGCATGGAGGGCCAGCTAAGAAGACAGGGCATGGAACTCGTGTGGATTGGAGGCTGTAGGTGGTGGTAAGTCAGCACGACGATAAGCTCTCAGGATAGCAGAACGAAGCCAGAGGGAGACTGTATTCCACTGCTTGCGATGTTGCTGAGACACCTGAAGATAACGCCGAAGGGCCCGAACTGGGCAGAGAGCGAGCTCCAGGAGGTCATCAGGGCCAACGATCTCTGAAAGAGACGGGACGTGAAATTGCCGATCCGTTTGGCCGGGCAGTTGGTTTTTGGCGATAAAGTCCAAACAAAGGCCAAGGTGAACCAAACCGTGAGGACGCTGGTCGAATCGGACACGGGTCCAGGGCATGAAGCTCGCTATCCCTGGCAGCTGTTGCAAGGGCCAGGAGAAAGCAAGTCTTCAAGGTGAGATCTTCAAACGAGGCAGACGCAAGTGGCTCACACGGAGCCTGGCGTAAATCCTGCAGAACAACATTGAAATCCCAAGCTGGAGGGCGGAACATCTTAGTCTGGTCCTCCAGTCGAAAACCTTGGATCATGGCAAAAAGAGCTGGGACCGATGATAGCCTCGAATCTCTAGCGATCTTGAGGACTGAATTAAGCGCAGCAAGATAGGTCACAATCTTGGAACCAGCCAAGTGACGGGATTGGCGAAGGAAAACCAAAAAATCAGCCACTTGTGGAATGGTGGCCTCCACTGGAACGATGCGCCTCGACAAGCAGAAGGTCTGGAACGACCGCCACTTGTCATTATATAGGGATCGAGTGGAGGGACGATGAGCTCTGGAAACAGCTGCCGCAGCAGGCGCTGAAAAGCCTTTAGCGGTCAGAGACTTCTGGAGACACGCCAAACGTGCAGACTGATGCGGTTGTCTGGTATGAGGATTGAGCAGCAGATTTGGCCACGCCGGGAGACGCAACACAGGTTCTCCGGCGAGCTGAAGGAGCTTGGGAAACCAAATCCGGGACGGCCAATAAGGCACGAGCAAAAGCAGACCCAAAGGATAGGTCCGGGTCGCCTTCTGAATGACCTGGGGGATAAGAACTGGGGTCGGAAAAGCGTACGCGCTTCGGCCGACCCAAGACAGAGCGAGGCCGTCTTCTTCCCAAGCAGCTGGGTCCGGGACCGGAGACACGTACACCGGCAATTGGTGGTTGCACACCGTTGCAAAGAGATCCACGTTGGGAGTCCCCAGGCAATTGCACAAGAACCAGTAGGCTTCCGGGTGGAGCATCCACTCTGTGGGGGACGGGCGATCGGGTCTTGACAGGGAGTCGGCTAAGATGTTGCGACAACCTGGAATGTGACAGGCTCGTATCAGAAGAGGAAGACTGTCAGCCAGATGAAACAGGCGAAAGGTCTGCTCCAGGAGAGAAGCAGATCGAGTCGATCCTTGCTTGTTGATGTAATACACCACCGTGGAGTTGTCTGAGGCAACCATGAGATAACTGTTGTGGAGGATCAGGCGCCAATGACTAATTGCCCGAATGACCGCCTCCCACTCCAGATTGTTGATGTGCCACGCACTTTCCGCAGGAGTCCAAAGACTGGAGGTGGTTTCCTGGAGAAGGTGTGCGCCCCATCCTTGGAGAGATGCGTCCACGAAGAGATGGTGAGTGGCCTCAAAGCCTGTCATAGAGGAACCACTCAAGACGTTTGATGAGACTAGCCACCACTCCAGGAACGGACATAATTCTCTTGGCAGAGGAAGAAGGGACACAGCTGAAGACGACCCCTGGATGTTAGATCCTGAGCCGAGGTCAACAGCCCGAGAAGACTCTGCCACTGGCGGAGATCCAGAGGTTGAGAGAGGGCTCTCCTGACCCAGGATTTGATTGCTGCGAAACGATCCAGAGGAACTTGTATCAAGGAGAGGTCTGTCAGAAAAAGACCGCCTATGAAGGTGAGATGGCAAGAGGGAGTTGAAGGGTGAAATCCCGCTGAAGAATCAAGGTTTGATGGACGCCATGACCGAGGATGCAGTCGTCGAGGCAGGCCCCGAACCGAATCCCCCTGCGGTGAAGAAACACCACGATGGGATGAGTTACACATGTGAATAACCACGAAGCCATGGAAATGCCAAATGGGAGCACTTTCCACTGAAAGTGCTGGCCCAGGAAGATGAAGCGGAGGAAACGACGATGTGTTACCTGAATGGGAACGTGCAGGTAGGCATCCTGGAGATCCAGACTGATGAGGTAGTCCATCGGTTTAAGGAGGTGGCACAGAGACTGGATGGAGATCATCTGGAAATGTGGCGGAGGCGCGAGATAATGGAGGTTGAATAGCGCCAGATTGTGGATCATTCGAAGGTGGGATGAACCCTTTTTGGGCACCAGGAAGATTGGAGAATAAAACCCCGGAGTGATGGAATCGGTGTCCAGGAGATCCACTGCGTTCTTGGCGATCAGGAGATCGATATTGGCCTGAAGATCTGGCACATCACGAGGTCGATATGGAGGTTCCACGGGAGTAGTAGTCAGAGGAAGACGGCACGGAGCTGCAGGCGGTAACCATGACGGAGGATCCGAGTAACAAACGGATCCTGGAGCAGCTGCCAATTCCTCCAGTAGGTATGAAGTCTCCCTCCTACTGGAGACGGATGAACCGGGACAACTGGCGGAGGGAGATGCCAGTTGCCGAACGTCCGAGGAAAGTCACTTCCGTTGCCGATCCCCCCCCGGAAAAGCGTCCATGGCAAGGAGGCTTGGAGGACCGACCATTGCTGGGGGACTGGCGTTTGGGCCGAAAAGAAGAGGATTTCCTCTTCAAACTGGTCCTCTTTCCGACATATGATTTCCTCTGCTGAGAAAACTGGGAAGAAAAGAGCGTCCCAACTCTGGGCCTCCTTAGCCACCGTCGGGATCTGGCCGTTGAAGAGCGTCGACCCAGACCAGGGTTGGCGCATCAGTTGCGTCTTGAATGACGGGTCCCAGGAGGACTGCTTGAGTAGAGCCGAATGTCTAGCTATGGTGAGAGAACCAAGACAGAACTGAATGTAAGTCACCATGTGTACCAGTTGGCTCTGTTGCCAATCCAGGACCGAGAGGAGCTGGTCATTGGCCTCTGAGGGATACTTGTCCAAACAGTCCTGGATGTCTGAGTTGGCAGAAGCAACCGCCGACAGTGGGTAAAGAGTGTGACGGAGCGTAGCATCCATTCTACCAATTTGAGAATCCAACATCGGGACCGCTGTACTGGGCCGGGAGGATCCTACAAGCAACCGTACGTCCTCATCAACAGGAGGAGAAACGTTGGAAAAGTCCATGGAGTGGAAAGGACAGTGGTTTTTCCGGAATCTGGGCACTTTGATGGATGGCTGGACCGGTAGTGTTGGTTGAAATCATGTAGCAAGGGCCTTAAGTTTGTAAAATGGGAATTTACGACACCAATTTTCTAACTCATTTGCGATCGGGACCAGTAACATCAGTGTGTAAAATTCATTTCTCTAACTTTTGAGAAAATTTGTCACCATTGAAAAGCAGACTGAAGACCAAAAAAAGGACCACTTTGTGGCGGGGAATAAAAGTTAATGATGATGACAGTGATCGTGACCTTTTGACATCATTATAACATGTTAAAGGAATTAAAACTAATAAACTTTATATAGTTACCTGCATTACTCCTACTTAATGCATATTACTGCTTTTTGTTGACAGAAAGAAGAGCAGTGTGAAGTCTTGCTGAAGAAGTTGTTTTAACTGCCCTTGAGGACAACCCTATCACACAGCCCCTACATGACCAATGGAAGTGATGACATCATGGTTACTGCTAGGAGCCGGATCATCTGAAGACATTGTGGGGAGGAGCTCTGTGATGGGTGGGTCCGTGTAGACGTAGTTATGCAGGATAAACAAATATAAAAAATACCTAGAGATTTTACCAGAATTTTTAACTTATCCTGCATTACACCTTAATTCAGTCTGAATCCGACTGAACTTGGTGGAGGGCATACCTTCAGATGTGGTATTTTCATCCAAACTCAGCGTCCAACCACCATTCCTGTTGACAGGGAAAGAGGGAGTTAGGTATGCCGTGTATCCAGAAATCGATTCAACTACAGG